TCTACGTTCTGTTAAAATGCAACAGGTTGCAGTTCAGCCCCCCCTCTTTGCTGTGTTTATCCGACTGCAGCGAGCTGTAACCACCAGTGTTGTGGTATAGAAGAGATGTAGAATCTGGAGCTATTTATACTCTCTAGCCAAGAGAAATTCAATGCTGGTCTTTCCCACAGAGTGGGGAGGGCAGGAGTGGCAAAACAAAAAAGGGTCTTCAACAAAAAAAAAGAGGAAATAGGAAAGAGGTATGACACATGCTAGAGCTCGTGGAGGAAGCTCAAGGCTGGCTTCCTGTATGTCTGTCTTCCTCTGCATCGACTGGATGACTCGTTGTGTTTGTGTACGGACCGGTGCACGTGTCATCCTGTTTGCTTGGTCAGTCCCGTATAAACAACAGCAAGGGTTGCATAGAGACAGACCCAGGGTGACGACATGACAGAGACAGTCCAGCACTGTTCAACCTCATGATGTGCATGAAATGAGCATAAATTTAAATCAGCACTGCCGCAAAAATAGAGAGAGAGATAGACCGATACATCTGCCAGCCGATATTTTGGTCAATTTAAGATTTTTTATCTTTCTTGTATGGGTATTGTCTAATACATGCGTGCATTGGCCGATTCATTAGTGCATTCAGCTGCCATGTTTTGAGATTTCCTTGAAGACAAGCCTGGCATACCCTCCTTTTTTTTTTTTTTATCTATTGTCTTTCATTTGTTTGTTCAATAACTTATCTTTTTTTTTGGTTGAAATCTTTTATTATGCAAATGAAGGAAGAGAAACTTATATTGGCCTCAAAACTTGGCCCACAAATATCAACAGCACATATCTGTGATTGGTTAAATATTTGGGTTAGCCTTAAAAAGCCTGTATCAGTTGATTTTTAGTTTTTTTTTTTCTCCCCTTATGTTATAAGTAAAACAGCTCAGATCATCTATTAACCTACTTAAATTAAGAGCTAATAATACAAATTTGAAGAAATATTTACTTTATTTTAGACCATGTTGGTTTTTCTTGTAATAGAGGGGACAGTAAATCAGTCCCTTTTCATAAAGCTGCCCAGCAGTGTGCAGGAAGAACCCAGCCTAGATGGATCCATGTTACTGATCCATGCTTGACAGCCAGGCACCAAAAAACCCAGAATGGTTCATTCACACATCAGCATTAGAACACTAATCTCCGCTGTGTGTGTGGCCCCAAGCAAAGGTCACAGTTGGCAGGATTCCAGATGTTTCCTATTATCCTACATCACCTTCCTGGTCACTCAGATCCTTTCTGTCTCACACCAAAAACACACATGTCCACTGTCGCTCCTACAGGAGGAGAAACCAGGGTTACTGTGGTTAAAAAAAAAATAAAATAACCCAAGAAATTCACAGTAACCACAGCCATGTTTGTTTATGGTTTGAAGGAAAACCCCTGAAGTCCAGCCGGTATGACGCTGGTGACCGTGTTCGTGTCAAGCAGCCTAAATTCTGGTGGATCCTGAGTGGGGAAAATCCACTTGGCTGGATCGCATCAGCAAAGCCGTGCCCAATAGAGAAAATCCCCGCAAATCTGTGGCACTAAGCAGCGATCTGTTCACACACTAGCAGAGTGTATGTGTGGTGGTGGGGGGAGGGGGGGTCACAACTAAAGCTGTAGACAGAAGTTAACACCTAAAACTTGTCATTAAAAAAACTAGATAAGCCGTTTCTGTCAGACTCTCGTCACTCTGCTCAGAACTTAACAGATTTTAAAGATCCTCGGCGATAACGACGGCTCATTTTAACCCTTTTCCATCCTTCCTCTCTTTCCTCCCAACATCCCGGATGAGCTGCTTGGGGCTGGTAATGGTCAGGGGATGAGAGACATACGGAACAGCTGAGAGGGCCGACGCTGGGTAGGATAACCACCTCCTCCATGTTTCAGCGCTGGTCAGCGACTCACGCTGCGGCTTCGACTGTGTCTGGGTTAAACTTTCCCATCTTACTGTTACTGTGGTTTAAAGTTTAAACCTCCCAAGTTCCCAGAGTTTTCTGTCTTTACAGAACATTGAGTGCTACAGCGCAACCCTTTAGATTAGTTCTAGCCACACACTGCCTGACAGCTGGCTGAAAGAAGGCATCAGGTTATCCTCATACTTAAAAAAAAAAATAGTAGTTGTAGTTGCTTTTGTTTTTTTGTTTTTTTATAGAAATAATAGAAACTAAATGAGTCCCATCCTTTAATTTAATCAAGCTAAAGCTGTTTGAATTAAATGTAAGAAAATAACAGTTTGTTTTCATAGCATAATGTTTGCTAAAGCTTAACTAACACCTGAATAATGAGCTGTATCGCTCTGTTAAAAGGAAAGTAGTGAAGCGCAGGGGTTTGAGGTCCCCAAGGTTGGTAAAAAGGCTCCAAATACTGAAATGAACTGCTGTCCAGTTTGTAATGCTGCTGTAATGGAATGGAAATGTTCTGAAAGGCGTACAAAATGACAATAAAAGTTGTCTAATTCTAAATAGTCAGAACCCCCTAACAGTAAAGAACACGAACAGGGCGGAGGAGAAAGAAAGAAAAGGGACTCTAGAGAAACCAGTTGATATTTATGTCTTTTTCTAAAGGGGGGATGTACAGTAAAAGAATTCTTTAAAAACACAATGAGCAAACGGATTCCTCCAACGCAGCTGAAGCCCCGTCAGTCGCATCACAGCATTAGTTCCAAATTATCAGATTTTACAGACTTCACCTGCGTTCAGCATGAAGGACACGCTGTGGCACCGATGGCTTGAGAAGAAAAATTACAAACAAAAAAAACTTAAAGGCGAACGCATCGTTTTTACTCTCGCTTCTTTGGGAAACTTTCAATGTGAACAATTTGGTTTGAGTTTGGATAAAACTAAATTATCCTCTACTTGACGTTCAGGACGAAGTAAAATCATTAAAGAACAATAATAAATCTATGATGGCTGCTTTGTTTTCATCCCCTATCAATGCTTTACTCTCTTGGCTCTGCAGATTCCCAGTTTTCCCACCCCCCAAACCCTGATCCATACTTTATCTTTACTGAAACAATATGCTGTGAGCTCTCACAGCTAGAGTCCCTTATCAACACCACAGTGAGCCCGATGGTGACAAAGCTATGCAAAGGGTTGGCAGAGGTGTTGGTGGGTGTTTTCATGTGTTACCTTTCCATGCAGCACACAAATAAAGAAGCCATCAGGTCAAAGCAATGAACTAAATAAAACTCGCTGATGCTTATTAAGTTGTTTTGGTTTTTTCCTCAAAATCTGCATTAGTTCATCCTGGCATCAGTTTTTCTTTCCAGTTTTGTCATCATACTCCTCCCAGATGCCTCTGTGAAGAGTTTGGAGGTTTAGTCATTGTTGTTCTGCTCGATTTGGGTTCAGAGGTGTGATCTAGGTCACAACATAACCCTCTGCAGTGCCGTCTGACTTGCAGCTGAGAAGTCATCACGCATCGTTTGGTTTATCAAAGAATTGATTGCCTCCCAAAAAAAGGTAAATGTGAAAACTTCAAGCACGGGATACGAGTGGATTTCCATCGTTTCGGCTGGGGTTTTTTTATTTATTTTTTTTAGTCATGGGTGACAAAACACTCCTCTGCAGACAAAGAAAAAAACATTAAGGAAGTCCTTCACATCGAACAGCGCAGAGGAAAGAAGGAACAAACGCAGAGCTTGACAAATATCTGCCAGATGTTTCAAACAGGGGGGAAAAAAAGCAAGGATTCACAGGAATCACCAGAATGCTAATAAATGCATCACTTATCCCGAGTTAAGAATGATAACAACTAGTCTCTGCTTTCCAGTCAGCAGGGTGCCGAAGGAGAGGAACTAAATAGTCTGTTTGCTTGAGGCTCAGGCTTTGCATCTAAGCCTGACCTTTGACTTTTTGGTACAGAGGGGTGGGCTAGAAAAGAGGGGAATTTGCCTTCAGCAGTTAGCATTGTATCATAATAAAGATGTTTTATGCAGACCACACAGGGGCCCATCCACAATAAACAAGTACCTGAGGTGACATGGCAGAAGGTAAATGAAAGGCGACAGCGAGAAGTGATGGAATGAAAAACCACCTGCAGGTGGGAAGCAAACCAAATGCTGAAAGAAAGGAAAAATAAAAGACCGCCAGTTTATTCATTCAGAAAGCAGCTACCGCACAATCCCGACATGGGAAAGTGCTGAAAAGGGATTCTTATCTCAGTCTAAGGGAAGGCGTGGAGCTGGAGCTGAATGGCTGTGATCATCTATGTATTTTTGCAAATCGAACCTGAGCCTTAAACACACCATGGAGAGGATGGAGAGGTGTGATGCACCAATCAGGGGCCAATTTCAATCGATTTTCCACCCAATTAATGAAACCCACAGAAACTAAACACTAAAAACCACCTGAAACACCTATTCATTTGATTCAAATCTGAAAATGATGCAGAAATTGTGACCATCTTTGTATGTTAGATTAACCACAAGTCGATTATGCAAGAAAATCAAACAAATACAAAGATTGTCACAATTTGTGCACTATTTTAAGATCTGAATTAAATGCATAGGTGTATCAACCACCTGATATGCCAAATAATTTAATTCAAATCTGAAAATGAGGCACAAATTGTGACAATCTTTGTATTTGATTGATTTTCGTGCATAATCGACTTGTGGTTAATCTAAACTGAGATGATCTAACAAAGAGATTCCCTTTTGTAGTTTAAGCCCATGCACGGTTTAATAAGAAACATCTTTTTTTGTTTATGTTTTCTTGTTTTTAATGCATGCATTAGATGGAGATGAAGCAAAGGGACCCAGAGTGAAGAACAGGAACCAGTGCAGAACAGTTTCAAGGCTCGGATCACGAGCGGCTCAGCTCCATCAATTAAACTTTTACTCATTTTTTGAAACCAAAACATCGGATTCCTATCTGCCTAAGTGGAAGACAGGTAGTCGGTGATGCTGAGCGCGTGGGTTCTGGTTTGTACCGTTAACAGCAGTGGCACCCAGAGAGACACCCTGTAGATGTCAAACTCACCGACTGAAGGAAGAGGAGCGTCCGGACATAGTCCCTCTCTGTGTTCAGGATTTCGTTGAGAACGCAGAGCCTGAGCCGCTGCTGTCGGTCCGAGTCCTTAGAGACGTGGATCCCGTTCTCCTGATGCCTGTCGTCCTCTTCCATGATGGGGAAAAGCAGGTCGCGCGCTCTTTGAACAGGAAAACACAACACGCGCTTTCTCTTTGAAGTATCCGCACCCTTAACAGGGGAGGTGTTTCAGTCCATCCTGCAGGAGCAAGTTCTCCAAAAGCTGAGACAACATGAGCTCTGAGAGGAAAGTTCAGGAGGAAAGTAAGCAAACCATGAGCGGAGAGAACCTGGTGGTGGCAGCAGCACCAGCGGAGGAGGAGGAGGAGGAGGAGGAAGGGGAGGAAAGGGGAGGAAGGGGGGAGGCACCTCTGCTCATAATGAGCTCACACTCAACTAAAACAAACAGCTGTATGTCACACCTAAAGCCTCCATCACTAAAGCTGCGATAATGAAGTAAACTGATTAACATTAAACAACTGTGGTTATCCCCGGGAGTTAAAGAAAAATATGTACCTTACATGCAAAAAAAAAACATGCATAAAAAAAATATCTCAGGAAAGAAAATAATTTTATGTCAAACTACCATCTTTGCTTTTTTTTTTTTTTCTCAAAAACTGCTCTTTAAAAAGTAATTTTCTCAGTTAACATAACACTTTTGACACTAAACATTTATTATTTAGTTGGGAATTTATTAATTTATCCCTTAAAACTATATGTTAATATTTATAAAGGAAATATTAAGATTATTTTTAATGGATTTATGTAAATCGTGGACCTTCATTTTAGTTGTGTAGTTATTTATTTTTCTCTAATTCTCATTTAGAAGCAGCTTGCTGAAAGAAATGTAAAAGAAAAGCGCCCCCTGGTGGTTAAAACCATAGGTGCACATAAAGGAGAAAGAAATGGCCTAAACATGGTAGGTTATTGATGTGGGATTTTATTCCAGGTGACAAAAAAAAACTGATCAGGACACTTAATACATATACGGAGGAGGAATAGCGCCACTGAAAAAAAATAAAATAAAAAAGCTGATTTTTAATTTGATATTAGTAAAATATGAGAAAAAAGTCAGATTTCTGACTTAAATCTCAGAATTCTGACTTTTTTCTCACAATTCTGACTTTTTTTCTTAAAATTCTCACTTTTTATCTCACAATTCTGACTTTTTTCTCAAAATTCTGACTTTAATCTCAAAATTCTGACTTTAATTTTAGAATTTGTTCTTTTTTTGTTAAAATTCTGACTTTTTATCTCGCAATTCTGGCTTTTTTCTCAAAATTCTGACTTTAATCTCAGAATTGTGATTTTAATTTTAGAATTTGTACTTTTTTCTCACAATCCTGACTTTTTTTCTCAGAATTCTGACTTTTTTCTTAAAATCCTTACTTTAACATCAGAATTCTGACTGAATTCTGACATCTAACAAACATGTTAGCATCAAGCTGTAGCCATGTCTGTTTTCGAGACTAAACTAGCTCTCTTTTTTAATCGCCTCCTGATCTTCCATTAATGAAATACAGGTGCTGGTCATAAAATTAGAATATCATGAAAAAGTAGATTGATTTCAGTAATTCCATTTAAAAAGTGAAACTTGTATATTATATTCATACATTACATACAAACTCATATATTTCAGATGTTTATTTTGTTTAATTTTGATGATTACAAATGACAACAAATGAAAATCTCAAATTCATCATATCAGAAAATTAGAATATTGTGAAAAGGTTCAAAATTGATGGCCCCTGGTGCCACACTCTAATCAGCTAATTAACTCAAACCACCTGCAAAAGCCTTTAAATGGTCTTTCAGTCTAGTTCTATAGGCTACACAATCATGGGGAAGACTGCTGACTTGACAGTTGTCCAAAAGACGACCATCGACACCTTGCACAAGGAGGGCAAGACACAAAAGGTCATCGCTAAAGAGGCTGGCTGTTCACAGAGCTCAGTGTCCAAGCACATTAATAGAGAGGCGAAGGGAAGGAAAAGATGTGGTCGAAAAAAGTGTACAAGCAAGAGAGATAACCGCACCCTGGAGAGGATTGTGAAACAAAACCCATTCAAAAATGTGGGGGAGATTCACAAAGAGTGGACTGCAGCTGGAGTGAGTGCTTCAAGAACCACCACACACAGACGTATGAAAGACATGGGTTTCTGCTGTCGCATTCCTTGTGTCAAGCCACTCTTGAACCACAGACAGCGTCAGAAGCGTCTTGCCTGGGCTAAAGAGAAACAGGACTGGACTGCTGGTGAGTGGTCCAAAGTCATGTTCTCTGATGAAAGTAAATTTTGCATTTCCTTTGGAAATCAAGGTCCCAGAGTCTGGAGGAAAAGAAGAGAGGCACTTCATCCACGTTGCTTGAAGTCCAGTGTAAAGTTTCCACAGTCAGTGATGGTTTGGGGTGCCATGTCATCTGCTGGTGTTGGTCCATTGTATTTTCTGAGGTCCAAGGTCTACGCAGCCACATACCAGGAAGTTTTAGAGCACTTCATGCTTCCTGCAGCTGACCAACTTTTTGGAGATGCAGATTTCATTTTCCAACAGGACTTGGCACCTGCACACAGTGCCAAAGCTACCAGTACCTGGTTGAAGGACCATGGTATCCCTGTTCTTAATTGGCCAGCAAACTCTCCTGACCTTAACCCCATAGAAAATCTATGGGGTATTGTGAAGAAGAAGATGCAATACACCAGACCCAACAATTCAGAAGAGCTAAAAGCCACTATTAGAGCAACCTGGGCTATCATAACACCTGAGCAGTGCCACAGACTGATCGACTCCATGCCACGCCGCATTGCTGCAGTAATACAGGCCAAAGGAGGCCCAACTAAATACTGAGTGCTGTACATGCTCATACTTTTCATGTTCATACTTTTCAGTTGGCCAACATTTCTATAAATCCTTTGTTTTTATTGGTCTTCAGTAATATTCTAATTTTCTGATATGATGAATTTGAGATTTTCATTTGTTGTCATTTGTAATCATCAAAATTAAACAAAATAAACATCTGAAATATATGAGTTTGTATGTAATGTATGAATATAATATACAAGTTTCACTTTTTAAATGGAATTACTGAAATCAATCTACTTTTTCATGATATTCTAATTTTATGACCAGCACCTGTAGCATCACCAGGGACCCCTCGGGCACGTAAAAAGTCACCTAATTCCGTCATTTTCCACCAATGTGTTACTGTTCCTCCCAAACGACTCATACCCCTCAGTGAAGCTGAGTGATCCCACATCTCTTCCTTCATGGTGCCCATCTACATTAAGACACAAGATTCTGAGATTAAGGTGAGAATTCAGAGAAAAAAGTCAGAATTCTGAGATTAAAGTCTGAAGATGAATAGGGTAAAGAATATTTAAAAAATCAGTTCACTTTTTTTTCTTTTTTTTTTTCCAGTGGCCCTAATCCTCTTCCGTATACTTAACAAGAACCCAAGTGTAGAGCTATTTGTATAGTTCCTATAGGTCCCTCCTATTGCAGGATTTGTTTATAATAACTGAACAAGTTTTAACCAGATGTAACAACAATTCCCAAATAAGAGATGAGTGAACTGAATGGCAATATGTTTTAGGCTACTTTCAACACACAGAGAGAAAACCTATGATTTTGTTCCTCTATATACTGCATATAAGATTTAAGACCAGGTGGGTGTTTATTCCCTGCTCTTTTCTCCCTTTCCAGTTGTAGTTTTTGAAATGGAAAAAAGCAGGAATACATTAATGGTCTTTTTGGCATGATAAGAGGCTAATAAGCTAGTATTGCATTAAACTAGATTCAAAAGACAAACAGTTTGCTCCCAAAAGCATTTTCATGTCTGCCTTCACACACAGAAACCACTGTGATGTGGAAGCCAATGTTAGTCCACAGGGCTGGATCTTGACCCTCACTTTTTGTAGTCTTTACAGCTTCAATCCTGTTTTAGAGAATTTTTAACTAATCTTCCGGGAGCACATTTGTGGGGTTAACGACTCCTGTTGGGCATAAAGGCCTGACTCACAGTCTCCACACTAATTAATTCCATTAACCAATAGGCTAAGTCCAGCCTCCTAATCATATTCTCCTCAATACAAAGAAGTATACTTTGGAGCAGGTGATATATTCTGGGCAAATAACAAACCTAGACATGGTTTGGATTTCCAGACCAGAAGGAATGTCGCCACTGAATGTCTAGAGTTCAGTGGAAGTGTGAATCTGAAAAAAAACGTTAAAGCTGATCAGCCAAGCAGACCTATCCCATGCAACTCTCTGTAACACTGAGACATTTAATGCAGCTATTGAATATTCATCCACAGACTGGCATTCGATGTGGTCATGATGCAACACCACGAACAGCTGACTGATGCATATTTAGAAGTGAGGGGATTGAAGTGCCGGAATATGCTGGAATTCCCTGAGTGACTCATTCTTTCACAGCCGACTGTGGAAGCAGGGATTCAGCAAGGGACTGAATAATAGTTCTAATGCAAAAAATATCCCACTGATATGCTGGATAGAAGGACTATAGCTACTTCTAATTTATAACGTTTTCCCTCTCTAAACATGTTTTTACATACACACATATTGAAGATTACAGAAAAGAAACGTGCACGGAAAAGGGAGAAGACAGACAGCCTCGTTAGGGACTGCCTCAGAAGAGGTTAAAAGTTTAGGCATCTTTACAATGCTGAAAAATAAAAATAAAATCATGACAAGAAATCCAATTAAAGACACATGAAATGTAGCCAGCATTGAGTTTATTGGTGTAGCTTTGTTTATTATTTAGACATTATTTAACCTTATCTGTGAATGTTTAAACTCAGTAGGTTATGGTTCAAATGCCACCAAATTATATTCCAAAAATCACATAATCTGCTATTGTATCATATACATCTATATGCAGGTGGGCTAGCCAAACTAGACTAATAAAGACTCTTTATTTCAGAACACAAACAATAGGAACATATCTAAAGATGGATAAGTTTGATCTTTTTAAGCTTTAACAGTGTTTAATTGATCATTTTATGGGCTATGTTATCACTAAACAAGGTGGTTTAATTCTTTAAAAGAAAGAAAAAAGACAAACAGGTAAGATGTAAATATTTTTAACTATATTTCTGTAAAACAAGACATCAATGAAATTTAAAAGCAAATACACAGGTAGGCTGCAGTTTTAGGTACACGGTTACAGTAGGAAATGTATTGTTTAGCAGATTAAAATGAAAGTAGGAAGACCAAAAAAATGCAAGGCTTGGAAAGAACAAAGGGGAAGAAGGGGATTGGGAAATCCTTGACCTGGAGTCACCTTATTTCATCCTCCATTAAACA